AAATCGCCATATAAAAATATTAAATTGGCAATATTTCGAAAACTAAACATTTTCGGAATAGATAACCTTACACAAACTTACCTTTATTTTTAATGCTTAACAAGATAAAATTATAAAATTTTGGGGTTTCCATTTGAAAAAATTGATTTTTGGAAGTTTTCTCAACTTTATTTTTAATCTTATTTTTTAAGCACCCTGTATTAAAAGTTATCAAAACATAATGAAAATCTAATAAAATAGGTCCTTTTCAACAAGGAATCAAGGTTCAATCAAAGAATAAAGGCTTCCTTATAGGAAAAATTGACAATTATTTTAGGGTCTGCAAACGTAATTTTTTACATAAAAACTTAAATATGTCAAAAACGGTTAGACTTAGGTATAGGACATCGTACATGAAATGTATTTAGAATTTTCCTTAGAGTCCAAAAATACATTAATATACGGCGTGTTCTATTTAAAATAACCGAGTTGGTATCAACTTCCGGTATGACCGGAAATGCCGCCATCTTGAAAATATTTTACCTGGATGTCCCCCATCGACATTGCTATGTTGCCAAATTTTCAAATTTTTACCTTTCACAGTTTTCCCATAAGCAATCGATGTCATTCCCGGAGGACCACCCTGTATAGATATAGGCAAAATATTATAGAAGTAAATGCAAAATAATTATTGATTTGTATTGAATTGGCTTCTACTTGGTGGAAATTCATAATTTTATGAAAGATTTTTAAGTATATGTATTTACTTATTTATTTCCACTAATTAGTGGATTTTTCATTAAATTATTGATTTTTTACACATTTTTGAAATAACATGGAAGTAAACCAAACTGGTTAGTTGGTGTATATTTTAGGTTCCCAACTTAAAAAATTAGAAACAAAGCAATGCAATGCAGGACATCGTTCAAGTCGGACTGATAATCAATATAATGGTATTTTAGAGATTTACAGAGATCTCTATTCACAGAGAAGTCCTACCCCTGTCAACATAGGTAAAGAAAATATCATGAATGTTGGGTTGTCTGCCAAACATTACCACAGAAGGGATAAAACTAGTCTGAAATAAAAGCCAGAAAAGCTCCGGGAGAAGACAGAATCACAGCTGAAATGAAGAAGATAGTCAAAAAATTTATTAAAATGCTTTCGAATAAATGTCTTAATGTCTCCATGATGCCACGTTTAAGTGCGCAAGTCATGCTACTTCTACTATACAGGGTGTCCCACGGTGGATGGCGTATTAGACGTTTATGGAGAACTGAAAAGCCGATCATTTTGAAAATTTGGCAACCGGGATAAATGACCATAATCTACACTTTAAAAATATTTTTTTTTTATGCGGTGTTGCCCCTTCTACTCTAAACCAGTGGCAACATCGCTATTTTAAATAGAACATCCTGTATATGATTGCATATTTGGATTCTACGTAAAATTCTGAACAGATTTCATGTGATATACCCTATACCTAAGTTCAACTATTTTGGAAATATTGACAGTTGAAAATTGACTTTTTGCAACTTTGACAGGCTGTAAAACCTAAACGGTTAATTTTAGAGGAAAACCGATTTTACATTCCTATTTAGATTTTTATAAACTATCATTTGACACCAACTTTGAATTTAATCCATGATTAAAAATTCCAATTAAATTTCATCTCCGGTTAAATTCAAAGTTGGTGTCAAATGATAGCTTATCAAAATCTAAGATAGGAATGTAAAATCGGTTTTCCTTTAAAATTAACCGTTTAGGTTTTACAGCCTGACAAAGTTGCAAAAAGTCAATTTTCAACTGTCAATATTTCCAAAACAGTTGAACTTAGGTATAGGATATATCACTAAAAATCTGTTCAGAATTTTACGTAGAATCCAAAAATGCAATCATATACAGGGTGTTCTATTTAAAATAGCGATGTTGCCACTGGTTTAGAGTAGAAGCGGCAACACGCATACACAAAAATATTTTTAAAGTGTAGATTATGGCCGTTTATCCCGGTTGCCAAATTTTCAGAATTATCGGCTTTTTAGTTCTCCATAAACGTCTAATACGCCATCCACCGTGGGACACCCGTATACAGGGTGTATATTTTAAGTGATACCACTATTGCTATATCTGAAACGGTAAAAGCTACAAGGCCGGTTAAATTAGAAAAAAGTTTCCTTTTTTGATGCTCATTCAAGACTCGTTTACAGTGTTGCCAAATTCCTTTTACTTTATGAAATACAGGGTGATTTCTAAGAAACGCCTAAAAATATTTTATCAATTATTTCGAAAACTATGAATTTTCGGGAAACAATTTAAATTTGAAAGTTTTATAATTTTTTTCGCTCTTCAACATGGCATCTTCAAATTTTGAATCCGACGTTTCGTGATTGAGTTACCATCAATAACTTCATTTTTTTAAATACGGACCTGGATTTTTTATGTCATTTTTAGAAAGCACCCTTTATTCCGTTTTTAACGATATACCTCTCAAGTATGATTGGTCCACGTTTCTGATCTAAAAAGTGATCATCAGTCATTTTTACCAAAATTTCACCTCAATTCGGCCCTAGTTATGAACCTGTATTTCAGATACTAAAAGGAATTTGGTAACACTGTAAACGAATCTTAAATGGGCATCAAAAAAGGCAACTTTTTAATAATTCAACTGACCTTGTAGCTCTTACCGTTTCGGATATAGCAATAGTGGTATCACTTAAAATATACACCCTGTATATAAGAAGGGAGATAAATTCCAAATTGACAACAAGCTGGTTTCTAGAGAGGATCCAACTAGGGTTTCACGAGATTCTCGAAATTCGAGATTTCTCGTCTCGTCTCGTCTCGATTTCGAGACGAGATCGAGACTGATATTTTTTTTCGAGACGAGATCGAGAAAAACGGTTCGAGATTTTTCGAGATCGAGAAATTTTTTCGAGATTTCTCGATCTCGAAAAAATATAGGTGCTGCAATACCTAAAGCACAGATAACTCTTAATAGGTCAGAAAAGCGAAAATAAATGTTAAGGAATACGAAATAATTTTAATTCATTTTAAACATGAGAAGATTAACGAAACCATAAAAAAAACAAAGATAACAAAGCAAATAAAAAGAGCAAAAAATTAATATTTCCATATAATATTCTTAAAGAAAAAAAGACCCTTGAATTATTAAACAAAAATTAACTTCAAACACCCAAAAAATAACAAAACATAAGGAAAGTATAGATAGCATAATACAGTGGCGACGCGTGACTTGTAGTCTGGGGGGGTAATGGGGTAATGAGAAGATGCGATCCCAGCTAACGCGTCGCAGGCGAAATTTTTTGCAAATTTCAAGGTCATTCACTTTTCCAGAACAATTATTTCCTTTGTGAGGAAAATAAAACAAAAAAAAAAAATTATTTTCTTTTGGGCATCGTGATTTTTCCCTTGATTATTGGATCCTGGGGGGGGGGGTAATTACCCCTATTACCCCCCCCCCCCCCCCCCCCCGACGCGACGCCCATGGCATAACATGTTCCAATATAAAAAAAAGTTTCTTAGCTGATAACGAAATTATTGTTTATGCACTTCAGGGATTAAAAGTACCCTTTTAATCCCTGTTTTAAGAGAGTAAAGTGGGTCTTTTAATCCCCGGGATTAAATTTCACTTTATTTCCTAAGCGATTAAATTTTTACTTTATTTCCCGGGGATTAAATTTTACTTTATTTCCCGGGGATTAAAAGTACCCTTTTATTCCCTGTTTTATTTAATCCCCGGGAAATAAACTAAATTGCATAAAATAGTGTATACACCTCAGGACTAAAGTGTTTTTTAATCCCTCGACAAATTATAGCCCGACCGTCTCGGGATTAAAAGTACCACTTTAGTCCCTAGCTGTATAATGTACTATTATTTACGACTGACATATAATATAAGTATTATATTTGTGACTTTGGCAGTATAATGCCATATATTATTCCCGCAGGGATTAATGGTCATTATTCCCACTTGCACACCAATCACAAAATTTCTCAAATTAAATAAGTAGTACCATGGAAACAATATACCTGAACAAACTCAAAAGTGTCAGTGTCAAACGCGTAGTGCTTGTGTATTGAGATGGATGAACAAAGAGCGTTTTTGGAAAGAAAATTTCAAATAAATTAATTTGTCGTAAATAAAGTAGAGTATACTACTCGCAATAATGGCTATTATTCCCTCGGAATGTTACTCCCTCGCCGCTCAGTTCGTAACTATTCCTCAGGAATAATAGCTATCATTATTGACTCGTGGTATAATCTACTATTAATAACATTCAGTTTTTGTTTTCGAGACTCTTGAAATTTCGAGAATCTCGAATCGAGATCGAGAAATTCTCTTCGAGAAAAACATCGAGACGAGATTTTGTTGATTTCTCGTCTCGATGATCGAGACGAGACGAGAAATTGCCTTCGAGACGAGATTTCTCGTCTCGATGAAACCCTAGATTCAACACAGGAAACTACTTCACTTAAAATAAAATCAGTTAACAGACTGGACCACGCAAATAGTTATAGAAAGAATGATGTTGGGAAAAAGTTTCAGAAATGACGAAGAACGATGGTGGAGGATATCATAATTCAAATAGCTCTAATAAAGTGCAGTTGAGCTGGACATATTGCTCGTCAAGACAATAACAGGTGGACAAATGACATAAGTACTCATTTTCACTATAACCTTTGCTGAAATCACATCATATTAATTGTAAGTTCAATTTGTCCATCAAAACTATGTATTGGCTCAAAAGCATAGTTGTTGTAATTAAAAAAAAACAACTCCTGTTATCAAGCAATCAACCTTGGCATTTTTTTCGACAAGTGACTTTAAAAAAAAAATCTCTTAATTCTTTAGACACATATTTTGACAATATCTATTGACACACTAACAGTCAGGCAATATGCCTAATGAAACGCGAATGCTTTCTATATTCGTATAAAACAATAAATAAAAACTGATAACGTTTGACGCGTTTGACGATGAGTATATAAAATGTATTGTTAGGTTTCCCGTAACCACAGTAGTAGCACTGGGTACGCAAATCGGAGTCGTCGTGAACGAGTAGAATTTTGCAGCCAAATGCGAAACTGACTCGAAAATAAGACACTTGCCATTTGAATCAATAATTGATATTAGTTTTTGACATTAGTGCACCAATACTAGGATTTAATCAAGTGAGTAGTTTTAAAATAATACTTATTTTGTTTGGCCAATCATTTATTTATATAGGGATTTGTTAATTGTTTTTTGAAGCAGTTGGAAATCTTGATTTATGCATGTAATTTTAATAAGGTTTTGTTTATGATAGGAAGCAATTTTCGGAATTTCGAGTACAATAAACTTGATCAAAGGTTTGCCCCCAGATAAAAATAAATGTATTTGTTACTTAATCCACCAAGGTCTAAGATTTGTTTACAAACAAGATTTCAAAATCACCTACTTCCCACCCAATTATCAACTAGGATTACGTTACTTGCATTTGATATTGTCATTTTCTTCAATTTCAAGATCTGATTTGCATTTGTAAGTTGATTATGACTAAATAAAGTATCACTTTCATTAGTTTTTTTTTAATAATCTTTTTGATTCCAGAATGATGGACAACAATCCGAAAATAACAATTACTGCTGTGATATTGATGGGTCTCTATTTTACTTTAACTGGTAAGTCAACTTAATTAAAGCCGAATAGATAAAATGTATTCTTTCTAAGCCCCCCCTCTGATTGTTTCACAATTAATTTCTCAGAACCGCAAGTTAAAAGATTTGATAATAATTGATGCTGTACATCCTAAAGATATATTCTTTTGAATGAGATAAGATTCCTAGGTTTTGTATAATCCTTATGAAATAATGAATTGCTTACAAATATGTTTTCGCGGTTACGTTACGGAGAATTCATTCCTAATAACATCAATTATTTTCATTAATTCCAGATGCTTTTCCAAACAAGCCCACCGCTCCTCATCAACTTTGCGAGAAATCTATGGAAGACCAGAATCTTCCCGACCCTTCTGATTGTACCAGATATTTCCGTTGCGTCTACGGCAGAAAAGTTCCAAAAATCTGTCCGGAAAAAATGCTTTTCAATCTTAAAATAGGAAATTGTGACTTGCACTACAATGTGGAATGTACTCCGAAAAACTACCATGAAGTTGTCGGAGACCAACGAGCCATTGAGACTTTGACCGGAAACAGTCTTTTCAAAACCAGTGAAGCTAATGACGTTTCTGAAGAAAGCAGCAATTCGGAAAACATCAATAGGCCATCTGAAACATCTACCACCAAATTTGTTTACATGCCACACGAAACAGTGGAAAGGGCCTATTATAAAGTGGAAAATGGTGCAAAGTTTATGATGTACTGTGAAGAAAATATGAGTTTCAATTTTGAATTGGAAATTTGCGCCAGGCCGTCAAATCTGAGATAATTTGAACTAGTTTCAAATACCCAACGACTTTTTGCATACAGGATATCGAGGGAATGGAATCTCTTGAAATCGCCTTGGATGGTGGAGCTCGAAAGGGCGGAAGTTGGTTTTTATAAGACCTGATAAATTTGTTATTTTTGTTTATTATCCTCGACAAATAAAGTTTTTGATGAATATTGTTTGTGTGTTTTAGTTATTTTCATAGAAAAAAATTCTAAGCAGGTGGTGATAAGGAAAGTAAAAAATTATCATTATTGGTTTTTATCGGAAATTTTAATGTTTTCTAATAGGTACATACTTAGCAGCTTGAAAATAGTATTCAAGTTTGAAAATGAAAAACCGTTTCTGGATTTTGTGGCATTGTTGAAAAAACGGTCATCTAATATGTAATAAGATTCAGGAAAACACGCTTTATTGTCCAAAGATATAATTTTTTCCACATACATATGAGATATAAATTATTACATAACATATCTTTGCAAAAAATATGTCCAACCAATCAAATAATTTCCGAAGATGAGAGAAGAGGTTGAAATCGTACAAGAAGGATCGATGAACTTCTATCCATTCATCCATTCTCAAAACGCAAGTAGACAGCATCAAATCTGAGATAGGAGACTAAAATAGGTGAATTTATTGTTGAACTGAAATAATGAGTTGATTACTGGTTCTGACGTCAATAAGAGGCAGTCGACAGATTTTTCTAGAACATCTCATCGGGTTCTATTTGAGAATAATAATTAAACAAGGTCCTGGAGTTTAAACTTCGCTATTATCCATTTAGCTATGCATTTAAAATCAAGTTTCAAGAAATATACAGATAATTTCATGGTGAATATACGACAGCAAAGAGCCTAAATGGAACAAGTCAATCAAAAAATGTACCTGGACCCCTGGACCATCAAAAATATCGAAGACAATAGACAAGAAGAGTAAGCCTGAAGACGATAAAACTGGTCTGGCTGTTTCACACTTTCACAACAACAAGAAGACCAGCGACAGAAAAAGAAACAAGAAGAGGAAGACCAAAGATGCCGAGAAGAGAAAGAAGACACAAAGAATGTCAAGAAAAAGGATTGGCTTGCATCACTTTTAAAACAAACAAAAGATCGGAGACCAAAAGAGAAATAAGAGGAGGAAGAACAAAGATAGAAAAAAAGGCAAAAACGGTCCCCAAACACACAAAAAAAAACAAGAAAAACAGGACCAGCTTCAGGAAAATTTTAAACAGAGGAAATGGAATCAAACCGTCATCTCTGAAGACCAAATCAGACAAGGGAAAATCCTGGAAGCGCAACATGATAATTTCAGGAATGCAATGGAAGAATTGAAGAAGTCGGAAGTGATTGCTAGGAAGTTGAAACTCTCATCACGAAGTTGAAACTGTTCGTATTCGTGAGGAAGTTGGAACTGTTCGTAAGGAAGTTGGAACTGTTCCTAAGAAAGTTGGAACTATTCTTTATTTTATTTTTATTTAGGTATTTATTCGACGGGCAGAAGCCCATTATTTCAAACTTAACAAAATTATATTACAAAATAACTTACAGGTAACAATAGAAAATCTTAATTGAAAACAATTAGGTACCCGGAAAAATGGGTTTTTGCCATAATTTGTGCGGAAAAAAGGAATATGAAAAGTTTGACGATTTCTTGTGTTGAAATGGGAAACATAAAGGTTGACCATGCTTGTTAGGTGGGCACAATCCACTATAGAGTTATTTAATTTAAAAAGCAAAGATAGGTCCCTGAGACTTCTCTTGGTGGATAAAGTTTGCAAATTTAATCTCTGGTGAAGAGCTTCGTAGCTTAACTCATTATGGAATTTTTTTTTAATTATTATAGCGAAGGAATCCTCTCTGGATACCCTCTATTCTTGTGGAATGTATTTCGTAGTGAGGATTCCAAATAATAGATGATGCATATTCGAAGTGTGACCTGACTAGACTGCAATAAAGAATTTTGAGAGCATGGATTGAGTTAAAATCTTGAGTATTTCGTTTTAGGAATCCTAACATTCTAAGCGATCTATTTACTATGAAAGTAATATGGTCAATGTAGGATAATTATGGGTCAAGAACTATGCCGAGATCAGTTATTGTTCCAACCATGAATATTCCGTCAATGGTGTAATCAAAGGTTGTTTTAGAGCAATTGCGAGAAAAGATCATTAGCTTACATTTTTAAGATCATGTGTAGCAAGAAGCAGTCTCTTGTATCGGAGAACACTTTTGAAAGTTTCATATCATCAGCAAAGAGCTTATGATTACTGTGCTTAAAGCGTGCTCCGGCATCATTTATAAAGCAATTAAAGAGCAGTGGTGCTAAATGGGAGCCTTGGGCGACTCCTGAGAAAACCTTTATTGTATAAGACAAAAAATTGTTTACTTTCACAACCTGGATACGTTCAGTCATGTCACTCCCAATCCAGTCAAGCATGGAGCCTGAAATCCCATTGATTTAAGTTTGTAGATTGAGATATTGTGAGACACTTTATCAAAGTCCTTTGCAAAGTCTGTATAAATGGTATGTACTTCCAATTCATTTTCAAAGGTTTCAATGATATTTGATGAGCGTGACAAAAGATTCCGTATTTCGGCCAGCACAAAATCCAAACTGATTATTTAAGATCAAAGGTGAGAGTACTGATGTTGAATAATTTGTTAATAATTTTTCAAATATCTTGTAAATTGTGTGTTGGCGTAATGGTTGATATTTTAGAATCACCTTCGGAGTTACGTGGACTGTAAGCGCAACTAATGAATATGTAGCAAAAAATAACCATACAAAAGACAATATGATAAAAGGCGCCTTACCTGTGGTTCTGGGGTTCTTCTAGTTCTAAGTTAATTTTTAATACCGGGATCCCGGGTCTTGTTTCGGTTGCACAACACTACCGGCTTTTATTTCGAAACCGGTAACCGGCGAGCTCGCGAATTCATCGACTTTCTTGTGTGCGAAAACGGATTAAAAAATGTGTGTTCGTGTTTCGTGTTTGGCGAAAAGAGAGAGAGTGTTTTGCAGTCGCTTGGCTGTACGAATCGAGTGTTTTTTCGTACCTTTTTTGTCGACCTCGGTTCCATACCGAGGGCGCTGTTGTTCCCTGCATAGGAGGCGCTATACCTATTTGAATTTGTATGGTTTTTCAATATGAGCAAAATTCGTGACTTTGACACTCTTGAAGAGATGCACGTACATTTTCCGCCCACTCAAAACCAACGTTTTGAAAATCAAAAATCAAAGAGAAAAAATAAAATTGAGTAAAAAAAAATTAAAATAAACTAAAATAAATGAGGTAAGAATTCTGACCCGCGACGACACAAACATAGATACATTGGTAAGGTTTGGAATCTAACCAATTGGCAAAGGACACAGCTTAACAATAGGACGTTTAAACAGTCCTTGCTGGGTCCTTAAGGTGACCACCCGAACATGCCCATCTGGTCCGGGATGTAGCTCAACAACTCGGCCAAGGGCCCAATGAAGGGGAGGTTTCGTTTCATGTTTGATAATTACTAGTTGATCTAAAGTTATTTTAGAAGGATTTTGAGTCCATTTTGAGCGTTGCTGCAAGGTGTGGAGATATTCATCCTTCCAGCGTTTCCAAAATTCTGCGTTCAATCGTTGAACTAATTGCCACCGAGACAAAGTGTTCAATTTGAGATGGGACAAATCAGGGTCGGGACAAGAATTTAGAGGTTCTTGGGTCAGAAAATGTCCCGGGGTTAATGGCTGCAAATCGTTTGGGTCGGAGCTCTGGGCACATAAAGGCCTGGAGTTCAAGACGGCTTCCACTTGAGGAAGGAAAGTGTTTAGCTCTTCGTAAGTGAGTCGCTGATCACCGATCACTCGATACAGATGAGTCTTTACCGCTTTGACGCCAGCCTCACTCAAGCCATTGAAATGCGGAGCAGCTGGGGGATTAAAATGCCAGAGAATTTGAAGATGATCCGCAGCCAATTGGGACATTTCTATCAGCTGAGTATTGGCACCCACAAACGTCGTTCCGTTGTCACTGTAGAGATGGGTTACCCGCCCACGCCGAGAAATAAAGCGACGGAATGCCCCAATAAATGCCTCGGAGGTCAAGTCAGAAGTAAGCTCAATGTGCACTGCCCGGGTGGCACAGCACACGAAGACACATATATAGGCTTTTAGAACCTTGGCGCTTCGATATCTTCCCATGACTATATTAAAGGGGTCAGCATAATCCAGAGTGGCATGCGAAAAACATTTAAGTTGGGAGATTCGAAATGAGGGTAGGTCTCCCATATACGGAGTATACGCTTTTCGTCTGAGACGAAAACATCTGATGCAGCGGGAAAGCACAGACTGTATCGCTCTTCGGGTAGATAAAATCCAGAATTGCTGACGCAACAAATTCTGGACGGAATTCAAACCAGGATGTAGATTGTCTTGGTGAATTTGTTCAATTAGGCGACGAGTAAAGGGATGGTCGCGAGGTAATAAAACGGGATGTTTGGCTTCAAAGGACATATGGGCATGTCTTAACCGTCCGCCCACTCTGACCAGTCCCTCCTTGTCAAGAAAAGGAGCAAGAGGTCGAAAGGACTTTGACACTAGCTCATTGTTTCGAATTTGGGCAATGAGACTTGAAAATCGTCGTTGTTGAGCTCTTTTGGATAAAAGGAGCAAAGCGTTTTGAAGTTCAAAGGAGGAGATCGCTCCAGTAAGCGGAGACGATTTGTGACGATAATTGTGAAAAACTCTCAGGCACTGACAAAGGATTTTCTGTATTTTAGACAAAGAGGAATATTTTTCTAATAGAGTGTCGAGGATATGATCCTCAATCAGGGCCGTTAAAAGAATGGGACACCTTTCTTCGATTGCGGCTATTTGATTACCACAAGAATTTGGGGGTTGTCGATTCCATGAAGAACTTGGTTGAAGAAGCCAGGGAGGTCCTTGAAACCACAAGGGATGATCTGCCAGACTGGCAGGAGTTAAGCCACGGCTTGCACAGTCTGCGGGATTTTCGTGAGTGGACACGTGATACCACTTGACATTTGGGATCGTTTCTTGGATGTGGCTAACCCGATTGGCTACAAAGGTCTTCCATCGATGTGGTGAGCTAGTAATCCAAGCCAAGACAACTTGGGAATCCGTGTAAGCGAAAACTTCGTCAATAATAGTTAGTTTAGTGTATGACTCCATAACAAACTG